GTGATTTCCTTTCGTCTTTCAATGATAATGTTATTAAACATCAGATAATATGAAAGGAACTTACTTAAAATAACTAGACAAAACTTGACTATATTATTTAATTAAACATGCATCAATATATATATATATATATATATATATATATATATATATATATATATAGACAGATAGATAGATAGATAGATAGATAGATAAGAGAAAGAACAGATGGTGTAAAAATCCACTCTTTGTAGTATTTACTTTTTAAAAAGTGCTCAATAGAATGTAGAGCATTATATTATTATTATTATTATTATTATTATTATTATTATTATATTTTTTTACTATAAATGATTATAATAAATACATGTTGAAATCGGTACACAGTAGCTTTCATTATCGTATTTCTTAGCATCGTCTGAAGAAATACGATCATAATATTGAAACTTGAAATATTTTGTGTAGCGATTTCAACAGGTTTTGATCATAATCTCTTATGTATATATACATATATATGTATATATATGCGCGCGTGTGTGTGTGTGTATAATTAAGAGAAACCTTCCGAACACGGTGCCATTCGATTTTGCATCTGCCTTCGATAGTTAAACTCTAAAGTATCTGGAAAATATCCAGCCATCAGCTCACCTTGCTGGATGTCAGGAGTCAAAACCGGATTTAATATTTTTGTTATTTTTCTCAGTGTTTTCTCTTGTCAGTGACGGTGATGTCTTGTTTGATGCAGTCTGTTCAGATGTTGAAATACCATAAGATCTTGACTTGGTCGTTGCGGTTAGTTGAGCACTTTTTATGGCAACAATGTATTCGTTTTGTAGAAGCATTCCACAAACGGATGCTAATGATATCGATGACATTTTCTACTATCATACGACCAGTCTATTATTATTATTATTATTATTATTATTATCATCATCATCATTCGATTTTCTGCTATGGACACACTAACCTAAAGTCTGCGGAAAGACCTAAAGGCAGGTGGTGTGTTGTGTTATAATACATTTCATGTTAATTTTTTTTTTTTTTTATCTCCGATGAAGTTGTCTAGCGTTACATAGACAAAGTTCTCCTTAGTGTGTGTGCTGTTTTAATTAAGACAATTTTCTGTATGTCTCTTATGCTGGGGTTTCCAGGGATTCTTTCAATGTGTTGTTTTGTTTTATTTTTTATAATTCCAAATTTTCTTACCACTGTATTATTCTTGTTTTCAATTTCCACATTTTTTCTATTTCATTACTATTATTATTATTATTATTATTATTATTATTTTGTTTTTTTGGGATTGTGCGGTGTATACTCATTTCTTTCCGGAATCCAACTAGAGACGTAAGGTCCAAAATTGCATCATGGCATTTTCCACCGAGCATTCTTTGAGGGAAAAAAAACACCTGTGGTAACACATAACATAAATGAAGCCCTTCGTAAGGTGTGATCTGTACTTGTGTTGTGACCAAGTAAATGGTTAAGAATAACAAAACAAGAAAATGCAGATAAATAGTGTATTGAACAGTAAATACAACAGAAGAGTGTTACACGACTTGGGAGTGTGTATCTGTCGACCAGCATTCAGTCTATCACTGTTCCGATATTCAGTAGCCCCCTCACGAGACTACATATGGCACAAGGCCTAGTTTAACGTGGATCATCTGAGCCCATAGGCTCGGCCAATAAATTCCCGTGTAAACCGCATAAACGGGTTCGGGTCTGTCTACCACCCCAGACGAAATTCAACCCTTCGGCACAGCCTCGTTTGGGTTCCTGTCTGCCAAAAGCAGAGAGTTCGACAGGAGCTGCGAACAGCCTCAGTAGAACAGTCCTATCACTCTTCCAACTGAGGCCTGCTTCTAGTAAATTTATAGTAAGTGGAATATTCCACTATAGCCTCATTAGATGGAGGACGTCACAACAACTTGTAAGTACAATTTTATAATAAAATAAGGTATAATTTCTGTATCTTTGGGATGCGCCTATTTATAAGAGGGAAGAGGAAGATCATTACTTAAACTCTTTCTTATTCATTACAATATAGTCGGATCTTCATGCCTCACTGTCATGAACTGTCTGAACTCTGAAATCCCATATCTTGTGATTTTATTATTATTATTATTATTATTATTATTATTTACTTTCCTTTGATTTCTATTACTACTATACATATTTTCCTGTTTACCCAGAGACCTAAGTTCAGAAAACATTTATCATGACCTTTCCATTGACCAATTCAAAACATGTGTACATTCAAACAACATATATATTTTTTACATAAATAAAACCCATCGTAAGTTATATTTGTACTCACGAGAACAGATTTTTTTCATTTCTTCCAGGAATCACTTCAATGATTCTATTGGAATCTTTTCATCAAATTTCAGGGATCAATTTACAACAGATATATATGGATGTTCGCTTATATATATTTATGATATTTCGATTTCAAGGTCATTTGTATTTTTGATAATTTTTTGAAGATCTTAAAAGATACATTGCAGTCTGGGGACAGCCATATCAATAAGGAGGCATTTTTTTTGTTCGTGGTCTTTAATGAACAATTTCTGGGCGGTGATCTGTGATTGTTCTTAAGGTGTTAATTGTTTTTGCCCATAAAATTGTTACAGTTTCTATCTCCTAACAGATTATTATTATTCTTTTCATCATCAATTTCATTTGATTTCTGGCGTTTACATTTCTTTCCGGGTCATTTTTTACCTTAATTTGAAATGGTTTCTTCTTTTCACTGAAAAAAAAAAAAAAATAAATTATAGATAAAGCCCTTCGTGGGTGTGGTTTGTACTTGTCGTTATTTTTTATCTCATTGAAGGATGGACTTTAGATGAACTTTAATTTGGTCTGCAATCTTTCCAACCGGTCCTGGGCTCCATGTATTTAGGTATTGTTTAATGCCACATTTTCCATATTTCTATTTCAATGTCCTTTCTTTGACCTTCTTAACATCTTAATTGCAGTGCAGGGGACTGCCATATCAATAAGGAGGCATTTTTTTTGTTTGTGGTCTTTACATAACAATATCATACATACATACATATATGTTATATATATATATATATATATAGTATATATATATATATATATCTATCTCAGCCAACCGGGTTGTGTTGGTGTTCAACCGAGAAAAATAGTATATTCCGTAAGTTTAGAGAGGTGCCAGCAAAGATTTTGGTTGTAATGTGGGTTTTTAGAAAATTCAGTGGGTGGAAATCTCCGCTTTTTACCTGAAGACGGTGATCAATCGTTTCTGGATATTTAGTAGAATCTGTATAAAAAACAAACATAATATTTTTAAATATATCCACATTTGATAAAAACGCTATCTCTCTTCTCTTCTTTTAATATATATATATATATATGCCTTTATATAATTATTTTTATATATACCGTTTGACAGTTATTTAAATGCAATTTCAGATTTACAAATTTCAGATATATATATATTGTCATAGTGGTATATAATGATTGAATATCATAAGCAAAAAAAGATATGTCAGGTTATTGAGTGACGGAGACGGAACGTTATAAATTACAAAAAATAATTAAACAGTGATCACAGAATAAAGAAAAAAAGAACCAGAACATTAAGCTAAGGCAGCTATCGTTTCACCTTTCTGAAACGGTAAAGAGCGGCATTGATTACTCAATACACGAAGTTGTAAAACGTAAGATAATTCTAGAAGCCGAATACTGACCTACTACGTTTCCTAAACGGATCTCGTCAGAACGGCATTGCCCTGACGATCAGGTTGGGGTGCAACTGATAGGTGCCTGTCTAGAATATCTTATCTTATACATACATATATATATATATATATATATATATATATATATATATATAAAGACAATAAAATAACTTTCTTAGCCAACGCGTTTCGTCGTTTTGACGAAAATTTATCAAGGAAAATATAAAGAAATACCAAATCCTTATATTTGCCTTGGTGAAGTCCATCAGAGGACAAAACGCGTGTATTAAGAAAAGTTTCCTTTTTGCTGTCTTTCTTCATATTGTCTTTTTTAAACCTACATTTTTACTTACATATGAATCTTTACACAAGCACACGCTGTCACACATACACGTGTGTGTCTGTGCTGATATGAGTAATATACTTCTTCTTCGCTTACCTACTCCACGTTGAAGAAAACCAAAACCTCACAGACACACGCATACATATTGTCACGTTTTCTAACAGTTCTGTCATGCAAATAGACGCAAAAGAACCCATGTTGAATGACAACACAGCAAAACTATATTTTCTTAGTGTGTCTCCATTACGTGCAATAACGCTTCCACCACAAATCATGCCAGCGCCATATTTCCGTCTAAGTAGAGGGCTAAAAAAAAAAGAGGCAAAAAATCTTTGCTTTATTGCTCTTTGCTTGTTTTTTTTAATTTTTTTCACTGAAATAAAACAATGTGAGAAAGAATTTTACAAAAGCATAAAGAAAAATCAATTCTCAAAATTTTTCTGAATTTAGAAATGCTGCGAATGTAAGAAGGTGCCTGTATTGTTACGCGGATCTATGGGGATCATTGTTAGCGGTTATAATTGTTTTATAATTTTTTTTTATTTAATTAAATTTATCGAAAGCTGGTTGATTTTCTTTTTTTATTCTTCGGGATTTTATTTTGCAATGGGAAAGGACTTGTCTTAAATTGTTTTATTTTGTTTCGTTCCAACTGAATTTATTCGTGACGTCGAAGTCATTTTAAGCAAGATTCGCAGTGCAGAGAGCCTGTCGACACTGCTGGGTAAGACGAAAAGAAATTTTGGGCGGGAAATAAAAACAGGAAAATATATGAAACTGAAAAGGAAAAGGCAAATTTAGAGAGGAAGTGGTTGAGGAAATGGCGGGAAAAGCGGTTAAAAGTTGCTCAGAAGGAACAAATATAACAAGCAACAAAGGCAAACAGGGGGAATTGAAAAATGCAATGATAACAAGAGAGCGGTAGAAGCAAAAGAGCAAAGGAAATACTATTGAGAGAATGGCGCGGATTAGAAGATGAAGGAGAAGAGAAAAAATGGAAAGCAGAAATACGATAAAAAGAAATAAGTTTTAGGATCAAAAGAAGAAGAAGAAGAAGAAAGTAGAAGAAGAAGGAGAAGAATAATTAGAAGAAGACGAAGAAGAAAGCGGAAGAAGAAAAAGAAGAAGAAGAAGAAGAAGAAGAAGAAGAAGAAGAAAAGGAGAAGAGGAGTTTGAAGTAGAAGACGAAGAAGAAAGTAGAAATACAAGATGATGAAGAAGAAAATAAGAAGATAGTTTAGAAGAAGAAGAATACGAAGGAGAAAGTAGAAATACAAGAAGAAGAAGAGGAAGAATATGATGAACACAAAGTAGAAATAGAAGAAGAAGACGAAGCAGATAGTAGTAGTAGAAGTGAAGAAGAAGAAGAAAGAGAGGAAGAAAGAAGAAGAAAAAAAATGATAAAAGGAGAAAAGGGAAAGAAAAGAAAAAAAAGAAGAAAAAGAAATAGAAGAAAAAGAAGAAAAAAAAGAAATTTTGAAGAAGAAGGAAAAAAAAGAGAAGTTATAGAAGAAAAATGAGAGAATATAGAATAAATGAAATGAAGAAGAAGAAGAAGAAGAAGAAAAAGTGAAAGGAAAGAAGAGAAAAAAGAAGAAAAAATGAAAAGAAGAAGAAAGGAAGAGGAAAGAAAGAAAAAAACTAAAAAAGAAGAAGAAGAAGAAGAAGAATAAAGTGAAGAGGAAAGAAGAAGAAGAGAAAAAACTAGAAGAAAAGAAGAAGAAAGAAAGGAAAAGAAGAAGAAAAATAAAGAAAGAAGAAGAAGAAGAAAAAAAGAAAAAGAAGAAAGAAAGAAGAAGAGAAAAGAATAAAGTGAAAGAAAGAAGAAGAGAAAACTAAGAAAATGGAAGAAGAAGAAGAAGAAGAATAAAGTGAAGAGGAAAAGAAGAAGAGAAAAACTAAGAAAATAGAAGAAGGAGAAGAAGAATAAAAGTGAAGAGGAAAGAAGAAGAAAAACTAAGAAAATAGAAGAAAAAAGAAGAAAAAATAAAGGAAAGAAGAAAGAGAAAACTAAGAAAATAGAAGAAGAAAAGAGAAAAGAATAAAAGGAATAGGAAGAAGAGAAAAACTAAGAAAATAGAAGAAGAAGGAGAAGAAGAATAAAGTGAAGAGGAAGAAAGAAGAAAACTAAGAAAATAGAAGAAGAGGAAAGAAGAAAACAGAAGAGGAAAGAAGAAGAAAAACTAAGAAAATAGAAGAAGAAGGAAGAAGAATAAAGTGAAGAGGAAAGAAGAAGAGAAAAACTAAAGAAAAATAGAAGAAGAAGGAGAAGAACAAATAAAAGTGAAGAGGAAAACTAAGAAAATAGGAAGAAAAACTAAGAAAATAAAGGAAGAAAAGAAGAGAAAAGAAGAATAAAGGAGAAGAAGAGGAAGAGGAAAGAAGAAAAAACTAAAAAATAGAAGAAGAAAAGCAAGAAGAAGAAGAAGAAGAAGAAGAAGAATAAAAGGAAGAGGAAAGAAAAAGGAAAATCAAGAAAATAGAAGAAGAAGAAGAAGAACAAAAGGGAAAGAAGAAGAGAAAAAACTAAGAAAATAGAAGAAGAAGAAGGGGAAAAGAAGAAGAGAAAATTAAGAAAAATAAAGAAGAAGAAGAAGAAAAGAGGAAAGAAGAAGAAAAACTAAGAAAATAGAAGAAGAAGAAGAAGAAGAATAAAGTAAGAGGAAAGTAAGAAGAGAAAACTAAAAAAATAGAAGAAGAAGAATAAAAGTGAAGAAAGAAGAGAGAAAAAACTAAGAAAATAGAAGAAGAAGAAGAAGAAGAAGAATAAAGAATGAGAGGAAAGAAGAGAAAAACTAAGAAAATAGAAGAAGGAGAAAAGGGAGAAGAAGAGAAAATAAGAAAAGGAAGAAGAAGGAAAGAAGAAGAAGAATAAAGGAAGAAAAAAGAAAGAAAAAAAAGAAAAAGAAGAAGAAGAAGAAGAAAAATAAAAGAAGGAAAGAAGAAAGAAAACTAAGAAAATAGAAGAAGAAGGAGAAGAAGAATAAAGTGAAGAAGAAGAAGAAAAAACTAAGAAAATAGAAGAAGAAGAAGAAGAAGAAGAAGAAGAAGAAGAAGAAGAAGAAGAAGAAGAATAAAGTGAAGAGGAAAGAAGAAGAGAAAAACTAAGAAAATAGAAGAAGAAGAAGAAGAAGAATAAAGTGAGGGAAAGAAGAAGAGAAAAACTAAGAAAATAGAAGAAGAAGAAGAAGAAAGTGAAGAGGAAAGAAGAAGAGAAAAACTAAGAAAATAGAAGAAGAAGGAGAAGAAGAAGAAGAAGAAGAATAAAGTGAAGAGGAAAGAAGAAGAGAAAAACTAAGAAAATAGAAGAAGAAGAAGAAGAAGAATAAAGTGAAGAGGAAAGAAGAAGAGAAAAACTAAAAAAATAGAAGAAGAAGAATAAAGTGAAGAGGAAAGAAGAAGAGAAAAACTAAGAAAATAGAAGAAGAAGAAGAAGAAGAAGAAGAAGAATAAAGTGAAGAGGAAAGAAGAAGAGAAAAACTAAGAAAATAGAAGAAGAAGGAGAAGAAGAATAAAGTGAAGAGGAAAGAAGAAGAGAAAAACTAAGAAAATAGAAGAAGAAGAAGAAGAAGAATAAAGTGAAGAGGAAAGAAGAAGAGAAAAACTAAGAAAATAGAAGAAGAAGGAGAAGAATAAAGTGAAGAGGAAAGAAGAAGAGAAAAACTAAGAAAATAGAAGAAGAAGGAGAAGAAGAATAAAGTGAAGAGGAAAGAAGAAGAGAAAAACTAAAAAATTAAGAAGAAGAAGAAGAAGAAGAAGAAGAAGAAGAAGAAGAATAAAGCGGAAGAGGAAAGAAGAAGAAAAACCAAGAAAATAGAAGAAGAAGAAGAAGAAGAATAAAGAAAAGAAGAAGAAGAAAAATAGAAGAAGAATAAAGAAAAGAAGAGGAAAGAAGAGAGAAAAAACTAAGAAAAAGAAGAAAGAAGAAGAAGAAAGAAGAATAAGGAAAGAAGAAGAGAAAACTAAGAAAATAGGAAGAAGAAGAAGAAGAAGAATAAAGTGAAGAGAAAGAAAGAAGAGAAAAACTAAAAAAATAGAAGAAGAAGAATAAAGTGAAGAGGAAAAGAAGAGAAAAACTAAGAAAATAGAAGAAGAAGAAGAAGAAGAAGAAGAAGAGAAGAATAAAGTGAAGAGGAAAGAAGAAGAGAAAAACTAAGAAAATAGAAGAAGAAGGAGAAGAAGAATAAAGTGAAGAGGAAAGAAGAAGAGAAAAACTAAGAAAATAGAAGAAGAAGAAGAAGAAGAAGAAGAAGAATAAAGTGAAGAGGAAAGAAGAAGAGAAAAACTAAAAAAATAGAAGAAGAAGAAGAAGAATAAAGTGAAGAGGAAAAGAAGAAGAAAAACTAAGAAAATAGAAGAAGAAGAAGAAGAAGAAGAAGAAGAATAAAGTGAAGAGGAAAGAAGAAGAGAAAAACTAAGAAAATAGAAGAAGAAGAAGAAGAAGAGGAACATGAAGTAGAAGAGTAAGAAGAAGAAAATGAAGATGAAAAGGAAGAAAAAGAAATGTACAGAAATACGAGCAAAATTATCACGCAGTGGATGACAAGCGAAATAAAAAAACGATAAAGAAAAGAATGTGAAAGCAAAACCAAAGAAGAAAGAAGATAAATAAATGAAAAGGAGAAGAAAGGTAAATAAATGAAAGATAACATAAATTAAATAGCATGTAAAAGTGTAAATGAACGTCAAATGAAGGAAAAGGTGGAATTACTTGAATATATATATACTGTACGTGACAGATCGTTGCAAGAAGAACAAGAAATATTAAAAAAATGAAATAGGGTGAAGAAGCAAAAGCGTAATATCCGAATGATATCTGAATGAGAAATAAATAGAAAAAGTTGAAAGATGAAAAAAAGAAGAAGAAGCGTAAATAAACGAAATAAATAAATAAATAGTTATAAAAAAAAAAAAGAAAGAGAGAAATTAGAAAAACTATTAGAAAGATACGAGTGATGAAAGAGGAAGAGGGAGAAGAAAAGGTAATGATAAAGAAGTGTAAAGAGAACAAGACGAAGAAGAAGAGAAGGCAGATGATGAGAACTGATGACTGGCAAGTAAAGATCGAATTATGGGAAAAACAAAAGAAAAAAGAACCATAAAAACATAAAACATCTGAAGAGACTGTTTGAACTCAAGTAACAATGCAATTATTAGAACAATAAAAATGGAACCTTGAAAAATAATAATGAAGGTGTCGAGTGCGATATAAATGAAAGAATTGGAAGAAGGAGGAAAAAGAAGAAGGAAAGGGATACGTTTATTTTTTTTAAGTGTACAGGAGCGTAAAGGTTTTTTTTTAATATAAGGTAGGATACAAGAGAAAGAACAATGAATCCTAAGATCCTTGATTATGTAGAATGATACGTCTATTAACAGTCAGCGAAAAAGAAGAAGGAAAAGTCAGAAGAAGAAATGGTCAAAAGAAAAAGAAAAAGTCAAAAGAAGGAAAAGAAAGAGTCAGAAGAAGAAGAAGTAGGAAAAATCAGAGGAAGAAAGTTCAGAAGAAGAAGAATAAAAATTCAAAATCAGAAGAGGATAAAATCAGAGAAAGAAGAAATATCGAGAGGAAAAGTTAGAAGAAGAAGAGGAAACTGTCAGAAGAAGAAGAAAAGTCAGAAGAAGGAAAAATTTCAGTAGGTGAAGAAGAAAAAGTCTGAAAAAGAAAGGTCAGAAGAAGAAGAAAAAGTTAAAGGAAGAAGAAAAGTAAGAAAAAGAAGACAAGGTCAGAAGAAGAAAAATCGGATGAAGAAAGTTCAGAAGAATAAAAAGTCAAAATCTGAAGAGGAAAAAGTCAAATAAAGAAGAAAAACCAGAAGAAGAAGGGAAGTCCGAAGAAGAAGAAAAGTCAAAAGAAGAAAAATCAGAAGAAATAGAAGAAAAAGATAGAAAAAGAAAAGGTCCGAGGAAGAAAAATAAAAGGTTAGAAGAGGAAGAAAATGTCCGAAGAAGAAGAAAAATAGTCGGTAGAAGAGATCGGAAGATGGAGAGAAAGTTGGGCATTATGAAAAGAAGAAGTGGCAGTTGAAGAAAGAGTGAGTAGACACGGAAAGAAGGAAAAAGGACATGTAACAAAACAGGAGGGAAAAGACAAATTTAGAGAAGAAGAAGTTAAGGAAGTGGCGGGAAAAAGAATTTAAAAGAGGACTAGAACAAATAAGCAAGACAAGGAACACAGGCAAACAGAGAGGAATTGAAAAAAAAACAAAAAACAAGGAAAGCTTAACGGAATATAAGAAATAAATGAGCAACGGAAGTAAAGGTGAGGACATGATATTGAAAGAATGACGGTAGACGAACGGATTAGAAGTTGGATATAAGAGAAAAAAAAATGGAGAAGGAGAAATATGATTAAAAGAAAAATGGCTAAGGAGCGAAAGAAAATAAATGAAATGTATAAAGTCGAATGTTTTTCTTTTTTAATCATTTCACCCCAAGCAAGGTAATAAAGCCAATAACCCTGTAAGGGTTTACTGAGTGTTAGAGATCATAAAAAAAAGGTTGTGATTAATATGTGATATAACAATGTAAATAGTGTATATAATAACTCATCTCAGAAATATAAAAATAATATTTTACAATACATAAACTAATGGTAATGAATAATGTACATGTACAAAATATTAGAGCAATTGATTTGCAGTGCAATATAGCATTTATTAAACATAGTTAAGAAAAGAAAATTTTCAGACAAGAGTTTCTTTTCCCAGAAGTAAATTGCCTACAGGAAAAATTGTTAAGGAACATATTTGAGTGTAAATGGCCTAAGTTGGTGTGATCTTGTGTGAAGCGCCCACATCCCTTTAGCTTCAGTATGAAAACTTAATATCGCACAGTTGAAAGGGAGAATTAATTTAAGGATACGCATTGTTTTTTATACACCGAGCGTTGTTTCTGGTATTAGTTTTATTGAGGACAGCTGCTGATAATATGTTCACTAAGGGATGCTACTGATGTTATTTATTAAACGGAGCTACTGATGGTAGGCTTTATTAAGATGCTAGGTTCATTAATAAGTCTTACAGATATTAGGTTCGTTAAGGGCTGCTACTGATATTAGGTTTATTAAGAGCTGCTACTGATACTAGGTTTTATTAAGGGCTGCTACTAATATTAGGTTTATTAAGAGCTGCTACTGATACTAGGTTTTATTAAGGGCTGCTAGTGATGCTGATTTTATTAAGGGCTGCTACTGATACTAGGTTTAAGTGCTGCTACTGATATTAGGTTTATTAAGAGCTGCTACTGATACTAGGTTTTATTAAGCGCTGCTACTGATGCTGATTTTATTAAGTGCTGCTAAACCTAATATTAGATTAGGTTTATTAAGAGCTGCTACTGATACTAGGTTTTATTAAGGGCTGCTACTGATGCTGATTTTATTAAGGGCTGCTACTGATAATAGGTTTAAGGGCTGCTACTGATATTAGGTTTATTAAAAGCTGCTACTGATACGAGGTTTTATTAAGGGCTGCTACTGATGCTGATTTTGTTAAGGGCTGCTACTGATACTAGGTTTAAGGGTTGCTACCGATATTAGGTTTATTAAGAGCTGCTACTGATACGAGGTTTTATTAAGCGCTGGCACTGATGCTGATTTTAGTAAGTGCTGCTACTGATATTAGGTTTATTAAGAGCTGCTACTGATACGAGGTTTTATTAAGGGCTGCTACTGATACTAGGTTTAAGGGCTGCTACTGATATTAGGTTTATAAAGAGCTGCTGATACTAGGTTTTATTAAGCGCTGCTACTGATGCTGATTTTATTAAGGGCTGCTACTGATCTTAGGTTTACTAAGAGCTGCTACTGATACGAGGTTTTATTAAAGGCTGCTAGGGATGCTGATTTTATTAAGGGCTGCTACTGATACTTGGTTTAAAGACTGCTACTGCTACTACGTTTGTTACTGGCTTATACTGATACACAGTTTACAAAGAGCTGCTACTAATACTACGTTTATTTTCGTCTACTCTTGATATTAGGTTCATTAAAGGCTGACACTGAAGTTAAATTTTACTATGTTAAATTTATTAAGGCCTGCTACTGATGCTAAGTGAATTAAGGATTGCTACTTATGCTAGTCTTATTAAGGGCTGTTTCTGATACTAGGTTAATTAAAAGCTTCTACTGACGCAAGTTTTATTAAGGTCCACTACTGATGCTAGTTTTATTAAGGACTGCTACAGATGCTAAGTTTGTGTAGGGCTGCTATTGATAATTATTAATTAATTATTAAAGGCTTCAAATGTTCTAGGTTTATTAAAGGCTAGTAATTATACTAGTTTTATAAAGCGCTGCTCTGAATCGATAGGCAAACTCAAAATTGATCGCTGCATTTAACTATTAAATTAATGTTGAAGCTTACCTTCAACGATATTTCTTCTGTTGACAATTAAAGACAATTTGATATGCGTAGATCCTTATTTTCCGTACAAACTATTATTTTTATTTCATGGGTGACAGAACAGGGGTTAAATGTTAAGGTAAAAATAATATAGTGTATAGATGGGAAAATAAAATTAGCTATACATTCAACATTTAAAGTGTTAGTGAAACACAAGAGCGAATTAATTGAAAAATGCATTATGGAATCCATCTGAAGAAATGCAAAATGGGGCTCAATTTTTCCAGGAATTCAGAGATTAAGAAGCCCCGACTCAACATTATATTAATCTACACACAAAAAGTTCAATACCTGTATCATATATTATTTACTTCTAGGCAATTTCACACGTTAGGTTTTACCTAATTTGCATAATGATTGTAAAGATGTTTATTTTATTAATTAAATGTCCTTCATCAACGTTATTTTATTCGAGTATTATATTGATTTTCCTATTAAAATAGTTCTGTTTAGAAATATCCTCTTACATAGTGCAGAAAAGTGTTTGAAATTTGCGTTTTACTTGGCCTTCAACAAGTTGGCATCTATTTGTAAAACTTTCCTTGACTATAACAAGCCAATTTATGAAAGTAATGTTCATTTCAAATTTTTCTTTCAAAGATTTCAAGTAATTAATATATCTTACTTTGCGAAGCAATAGCGAGCGGGTGATGTCTGATAGAGTAAAATACATAGAAGCTCACTTCTTAGTTTCCTCAGTCTTGCTCATTGCACCGTCCACATATTCATATGTGTATTTTTGTCCAACAAGACGCTTCGTAAAATTTAATCGAATCCTCTCAATTTAATATGAAGATAGGAAGTTACGAAAGAAAGAATGTATGAAGGAAGAACGGAAGGAAGAAGAAAAAACCCCGAAAAATGGAGAAGGAAAATATCAGAATTGATCAAAGAAAAAATACGAATTGAAAATGAATAAGAAAATAAAGAAAGAATAAAAACGGATCATAAAAAGGAAGGCAGGTACAAAAAAAAAGAAAAGAAAAAAAGAAAACGAATAATTAACGGAAGTCTACAAGGAAGAAAAAAGGATTAAAAAAGTTAAGAAAACAGGAATGAAAGAAAAAGAGTTTACAAATCCGCCTGAACTTAAATGACAAATACAGGCGTGACAGAAGAAGAAGAAGAAGAAGAAGAAGAAGAAGCAGAAAGTAAAATAGAAGAAGAAGAAGAAGAAAGTAAAATAAAAGAAGAGGATTAAAAGAAGAAATTAAAAAATAGAAGAAGTTGAAGAAGGTAAAAATAGAAGAAGAAGGAGAAGCAGAAGAAGAAGGAGGTAAAAGAAGAAGAAGAAGAAAGTAAAACAGAAGAAGAAGAAGAAAATAAAAATAAAAGAAGAGGAAGAAAAGGCGAAAGTAAAAATAGAAGAAGAAAGTAGAAATAAAAGAAGATAAAGAAAAAAGGGAAAACTAGGAGAAAAGAGGAAGAAAAAGAAAGTAAAAATAGAAGAAGAAGAAGAAGAAGAAGAAGAAGAAGAAGAAGAAGAAGAAGAAGAAGAAGAGGAGGAAGAAAGTAAAAATAGAAGAAGAGGAGGAAGAAAAGAAGAAAGGAAAATAGAAGAAGAGGAGGAAGAAAAGAAGAAGAAGAAGATGAAGAAGAAAGTAGAAATAGCAGAGGAAGACGGAGAAGCAGAAGAAAAAAGAAGGAAGAAGAAGAAAAGAAGAAAGTAGTAGAAGAAGAAACAAAGAGGAAGAAATAGTAAAACATACAGAAATACGAAGAAAATGATCAAGCAGTGGAAGACGAGGAAGGAGGAAGAGAATGAGAGGCTAAATAAAAAAAAAGATAAAGAAAAGAAGGTGAAAGAAAAAGCAAAGAAGAAGGATGGAAAATAAATAAAACAAAATAAGATAACATAAATGAAATAGAATGATAAAGTTTAAAAAGAACGTCAAATGAAGGAATAGGTGGAATTATCGTAAGACATATACAGAATGTGACAGGGCGTTGCAAGAAGAAGAAGAAGAAGAAATAAAAGGAAAAGAAAAGAGGGTGAAAAAGTAAGAGCTTAATATCCGAATGATATCTGAACGAAAAATAAATAGAAAAAGTCGAACGATGAAAGAAAAACGGAGAAGTATGAAGAAACGAAATAAGTAATTAATTAAAAAAAGAAAAGGAAAAGAAGGAATTAGGAAAAAGTTGTTTTAAAAAGCCTGAACTAAAATAATAGATACAGGTATGGAAGGAAAGAAGGAAAGAAATAAGAAAAAATAATGGTTCGAAAGAGATGTTATTGAAAGACTGATTAGAAAAAAAAGAACACTAAAGAAGAACAAATAATGTACAAAAGGAGAGAAGTAATTTGAATGAACAATTAAATAGGAGAAAAAAGAAAGTCTGGAATACATGTCGAGAGACTGAAAAGATGGAAAGAACAAGAGAAAAAATAACGCATGGAAGAAAGATATGGAAAACGAACAGATAAATACATTCATACATTACTAAGACCGCTTTATTTCCAAGCTGTGATCTAAATGCTAAGTTATTTTTTGCTTTCCGACCAGATGTGTTATTAAACCTATATAAAGCCATAAAACAATAGCTTTTTTATCAATGACAGAAAAGACTATAAAAATATATATAAAAAGAGTTTCAAATATTTAATTTTTTGTCTCCATTAACTGTATCGTCCTGTCAATTTAGCTATCGTATTTTTGTAAATATATTGTGATCATTATGATTAAAGTTTGTATGTTCTTGATTACATATAATATATTTCCGACATGTTTTGTTGAAATTTTCAATTTTCAAAATTATTGTTCAAAATTATATTCTAGATATAAGAAAAGCAGATAACATCAATTTAAACATTTTTTTAAAAAATTGATATGCGAAAAGAGAGAAGTAATTTGAATTACCCATTAATAGGAAAAAAGAAAGCTTGAAATACAAGTCGGAAGAATGAAAAGATGGAAGGAACGAGAGAAAAAATGACGGATGAAAGAACGATATTGAAAACAAACAGATAAATATAGTTACAATTTGGATAAAGAGAAATTAAAGAGAAAGGGAAAATAAAAACGGAATTACAAAAATAATGAAAAGAAGAACGCATAAGAAAAGAAAAGTAAGTAACAATAGAAAAATTAAAGGCAGGCTCAACGGGATATTAACATGAAAAAAACGATAGCCGAAAGAGGCAAGCTGTAAAAGAAACCTTGTTGTGATTTGAAAAGAAAGATAGAAAAAAGACCCCGCGTTGCGTGAACGAAATCCCTTTTTTGTACAGCTGTGCTACGCAGTCATTTCTTTTCATTGGAAATTTTACGTGTGCCATAAAATGATATAAGCGTAATTGTCATAACGCAATCTGAAAGCTTGAAACATTTTAGTAGGCGTTTAATTCATACACGGCATGTTATAATTTGTAATATCTCTAGTATATTTAAACAAAGATTTCCTACTTCTCTTTCATATATTACGCACACTTTGCTTCCGAGCTGTGATCTAAATACTAAGGTAATTGTTGTTTTCCGGGCAGATGGGGCATTAACCCATATAAAAGCCATAAAACAATAGCTTTTTTATCAGTCTCCGAAAAGAGTAGTTAAAAATAGAAATCACAAGAGTTTTAAATATTTGATTTTTTTCCACATTAACTGTACCTGTCTATTTAACTAACATTTTTTGCACATATATTGTGATCATTTTACTTAAAGCCCGTAATTTTCTTGATTAAAAATGAAAGATTTGACATGTTTTAGTGACATTTTCAATTTTCAAAATTATTAATGGAAATATATTCTATATATATATATATATATATATATATATATATATATATATATATATAAAAAAAAAAAGAAGAGAGGTGCTGCAAAACATTTTTGGTTGTAATGGATTTATTTAAAAAAAATATTATGCTTTGTTTTACATTCTTTACATTCAGAAAGAAATTCGGATTACTTAACACAGAAAATGTCTCATATCGAGAATATTTAACATTGAAAAAACATAAGGAAAAAAATTAATTATTTTTTAATAATATGTGAAAATTTACTTTATTTGAAGACGGTCATGAGACCAGAAACTGTGTAGTACAATTATGTAAAACAAAGCATAATATTTTTTTTCAAATAAATCCACATTACAAACTAAAAACGTTTGCGGTACATCACTTTCTTATTAATATACACATTTTTTCTCTCTGTTGGAAACTACTACAAACCTTTTTTTTTATATATATATATATATATAATAATGATATATATATATATATATATATATATATATATATATATATATATATAAAAACAATTGGCACTGTTAAACTTATTTTACAGTCAGTCATTTATGTGCCATGTGTGATACACGCTTAGGCGATCAGGTATCGTCCGATACATGACTGACGAGGCAGATTTTTTCCCGCAGTAGGTTGCCATTTCTTTTTGCGGTAGACCAGTTGCCAACCAAGCTTATAGAACCCAGTCTGTCTTGCTATTTACTCATAGCTGGCATGGAGAAGACGAGGATTCATATATTTCCCAATGCGGTTGATGTATGGGCTAACTCGCTAGACAGACCTATTTGATCTGACGAAACAAGCTTGCTAACTATTTCACTATGTCTGTGTAAGCTTAAGATGATTTTCTAAACGTAGCTTAGATGTGGAACAAGGCAGACACTATGACACACTGAATGAGAATAAAACTCACTATTCAGTCGTAATGGACGTAGAGATACAAGCAATGTAGATATGAATAGAATGTGATAGATAGATAGATAGATAGATAGATAGATAGATAGATAGATAGATAGAAACAGGCTGAGAATAAATCGATAGAAACATAGAAACAGGCTGAGATAGATAGATAGATAGATAGATAGATAGATAGATAGATAGATAGATAGAAACAGGCTGAGATAAAACGATAGAAACAGGCTGAGATAGATAGATAGAAATTTGGAATTCTTACCTTCATAAATAGGAAATGTAAAGAAAGAAAATATGAACAATCTGAGAAAGAATGAATTTCAATGAACTGTGTTTGAGTTTCCAGCTGTATAATTGTATTCAGAGTGTTTCTGGTACACTTACGTCCTCGAATTTGGGCTTGACAGCGATGTAGATTATCTCTGGGTTACGGATAAAATTGACCCTAAAGCATTGTGGAGAAATTGAGGAGGCATGGCGTTGTCTTAAATACTCACTATCCACAAGACCATCACAGATGACAAGAATTTATAGTATAGATTTCATTGGTGCAAACATATAATGAACTTTTCAGTTCATGTTTTAGTCCTGTACCCCGTCGCCTTAACTCTCTCGCCAGTGAACTTGTTGCTCAGGGGGAATAGCAAAGAAGGAACAAAAAACTGAACTGCAGACTATCCACAAAAAAAGATTTGTTTAGTTTTGAAGGCTTGTGTAGAACCAGCCACACTTAGTGGAAGTGCTGATAATAAGGAGTAGGTGCAAATATTTACCACGAACACAATGAGCAACACCCTCAGGTTTTATTATTACGAAGTTATACCTCTCCGTTACTCCCATTGCACAGAAGAGGGCAGCGCCTCTCGATGGTAATTTCACGTGATTTAGCCCGCCTGCTAAAGCAGTTTACATGGTCTGGCGCGTAGAGGTTTTGGGGGATCGGTGAAAACCAGTCTCACTCGTCCGTCTTAATAATAAGAGCAGCCGAGTAACAAAGGTACTAATTCTACCCACTGATACCTACACGCATAAAACATACACTGGATGTATATAAACCATTATATTGAAATGGGAAGTAAACCAAATGACTTTCCTAGATTTTCTTTTCTTATTATGGTCATAATTAACAGGATTTCTATATTGAATAGTGTTACTCTTGTATCTACTATTTCTAAGGACAAAATTGTAAAATTCATGATGTTTATTAAAAACCTCTATGTAAGATAAGATAGTACTATATTCAATGGAGGAGGGTATGTGTGAACTTAAGAGCAGTTCAATATAGTGAAAATATTTGCCACGAACACAATGAAAACACACTCTTAGGTTTTATTATCACGGAGTTATAATCCTCGGTACTAGCAGCACAGAAGAGTGCAAGGCATTTAGATGGTCATTTCACGTGATTTAGCCCGCTTCCTGAAGCGGTTTCATGGGTTTGCTGCATCGAGATTTAGGGATGGTTGGGGTGTTGCCCGTCCATCTTAATAAGAATATATATAATAATGATATATATATATATATATATATATATATATATATATATATATATATATATATATATATATATATATATTATGTCTATATTTGAGATGACATTATTACACTATTTACATTATTCGACTATTGTCCCTATCTTTGTCGTCATATTTATTACAACGTTTCTGGCTGTTGCAATGTTCCTGCCTTCTTCAGTTGGCTGGATTAAAACCTAATGACTTTCCTAGACCTTTTCTTATTATGGTCATAATTAACAGGATTTCTATATTGAATAATGGTACCCTTGTATCTACTATTTCTAAGGGCAGCATTGTAAAATTCATGATGTTTATTAAAAACCTCTTTGTTAGACGAGTTAGAACTATATTCAATGGAGGAGGGTATGTGTGAATTTAAGAGTAGTTCAATATGGTGTAAACATTTGCCACGAACACAATGAAAATCACACCTTAGGTTTTATTATCACGGAGTTATACCTCCCCAGTACTACCAGTGCATAAAAGAGTGCAGCGCATTTAGATGGTCACTTCACGTGATTTAGCTCGCCTCCTGAAGTGGTTTAAGGGGTTTGGCGCGTGGAGATTTAGGGTTAGAGTTAGCATATCCATTCAGCGTTTGAACATTTTTTCTCGTTTGAGAAACAAACGAAATTATTTTGGGCTCGTTGAGTTGCTTGCCGTTTTTACAGCAAATTCATTATTAGACCTAATATATTTTGATCCGAGTTCTTCGTGTACCACGTTTGATTCTTTGACTCTAATACATGGAACAGACTGACAATTTTACGGGGTTCTCTTCAAAAATAATCTTGACTTTCTCGACGGATTTGACATTCCTGGAAATACAATGTCTCAACTTCGAGAACGTTTTGGTATTTTGGCCACAGATGACACATTTTTGGCAGATTCCAGAATTTCTTTTTCTTATCTTAGACATGGAGGAACTGGCGACATTTAAGAAGATTTTAATATCTGAATCTGACTGGTTAACGGCGAAAACAAAGAAAGCGACATGCTCAGTAATTTCCTGCTTTAAATTAGAAACTTTCATGATTGGACTTAAAAAGCAAAAAGTATGTTCACTTTTTGGCTTTCAAAAAACACATACATTGTGTGTGTCCTGTAACTGTACAGGTTACGGATGGATGCACACAGATAATTCAAGACATAGGCGTTCATGGCCCTCTACAATTTCCTATACTTTGTGGCCCTTAGCAGTTTCTGGTAAGTGTTTCACTGCTTTCTAATGTCCCTCTTGCTCTCAATATACCCAGTGAATTTTAACTGACGCCCAAACACTCTGAAATATTCGTATTAGAGATTCCAGCGCGAATGTCAAGGAATACAGCAAGCCGTTTCCAAATTTCTGGCGGAGTGAAAAGCGTCATGGTACTTTTTTTTCTCACAGACAGTTTGCAACTGACCCTACTAAACTCAGCAGTAGACAAAATCAAAAACAACGCGAATGTACAAAATTTAAAATATAAAATGGCGAAAATTCATACATCGAATCCTCTAGTATATCCGTCTGAGGGCAGATACTACACTTTGATCCCGTTCTGATGACCAAGTTGTGAGGAAAAGCGTAAGTAGTGTAGCACTGGCTGTTCGGTCAATGAATGTTTCCGCCAAATAAAAATGAACATTATTATCATTGTCATATAAAAAGCATCATAGAACAAATATGTAAAATAGAGGGAAGTATAAAATGCAAAATGAACAAAATATTTAGGACAATAAGCGTAAAACAGAAGAAAATCAAGAAACGATATTTAATTTAAATCCAAATTGCGGAAAAGTCGAAAGGAAAAACTTAATAATTTAAAATGGCGACGGAGGAAAGGTGGGAAATGGCAAATGAACGGGAAGTACAGATATTTATCGGTAACTGAAAGCATAAAGAAACATGTCTACCCGAACAAAGGGGAGATAAACAGAATTGAAAGAAAGTAAGAAAGAAAGAATATGAATAATGATGAAGGAGGAGTGAAGAAAAAAATTGAGAATAGCGATGAGCGAAACGAGGAAGAAGACAAATAGGGTGAGAAGTAGATATTAATCGGTAATGGCAAAACAAAGGAAGTTGTGAATTTCAGAAGGGAAAGATGGCGAAAAAGAAAACGAGAAAGAAAAAGTGACGTTAAGAGAAAATAAAGAAGTGAGTATTATTAGAAAATAAAAAAGAAAACATAGGGGATTATAAGAGAGTGGGCGAAAAAGAAAGAAAGAAAGAAAGAAAGAAAGAAAGAAAGAAAGAAAGAAAGAAAGAAAGAAACAATCAATCAAACGAATAAACAACATGGAATTAAATGAGTGTCATCAAAAAAGAAAAAAATGAGGAATAAAGGAATATAAGAAAGAAAGAAAGAAAGAATGAAAAAGAAAGACAGAAACACTCAATCAAACGAACAAATAAACAAAAAAAAGAATTAAATGAGCGTCATCAGAAAAGAAAACAATAATAGAGGAATATAAGGAAGAAAGAAAGAAAGAAAGAAAGAAAGAAAAAAGAAAGAAAGTAAACTAGAAAGAAAGAAAGAAAGAAACAAATAATCAAACAAATAAGCAAAATAGAATTTAATGTTGGTCATCAAAAAAGAAAAAAAATGAAAAACAGGAATTTAATAAAGGAAGAAAGAAGGAAAGAAAGGAAGAAAAAAGAAAGAAAAATGAAAAAGAAAGAAACAAATAATCAAACAAATAAACAAAAAAAGAATTTAATGATGTTCATCAGAAAAGAAAAAAAAATGAAAAATAGAGGAATAAAAGCACGAAAGAAAGACGTAATGGTTATTAGAAAAGATAACAGAAAGACTAAAAAAATAGGTTTATATGAGCGTGAGAGAAAGAAAGAAATACAGAAAAACAGAAAGAAAGAAAGAAAGAAAGAAAGAAAGAAAGAAAGAAAGAAAGAAGGGTAATCAGAAAAGAAAAACGAAAGATTAGAGGATTATAAAAAAGAAAACATAAATAGGTAAGTCTTAACAGAAAAGTGAAAAGAAAGAAAGAAAGAAAGAAAGAAAGAAAGAAAGAAAGAAGGGTAATCAGAAAAGAAAAACGAAAGATTAGAGGATTATAAAAAAGAAAACATAAATAGGTAAGTCTTAACAGAAAAGTGAAAAGAAAGAAAGAAAGAAAGAAAGAAAGAAAGAAAGAAAGAAAGAAGGGTAATCAGAAAAGAAAAACGAAAGATTAGAGGATTATAAAAAAGAAAACATAAATAGGTAAGTCTTAACAGAAAAGTGAAAAGAAAGAAAAGAAAGCAAAGAAAGAAAAAGAAAAAGAAAGAAGGGTAATCAGAAAAAGAAAACGAAAAGATTAGGGAGGATAAAAAAGAAACATAAATAGGTAAGTCTTAACAGAAAGTGAAAAGAAAGAAAGAAAGAAAGAAAAGAAGGGTAAAGAAAAGAAAACGAAAGATTAGAGGATTATAAAAAAGAAAAATATAAATAGAAAAGTCTTAACAGAAAAGGAAAAGAAAGAAAGAAAGAAAGAAAAGAAAGAAAGAAAAGAAAGAAGGGTAAAAGAAAAGAAAACGAAAGATTAGAGGATTATAAAAAGAAAACATAAATAGAAAAGTCTTAACAGAAAAGTGAAAAGAAAGAAAGAAAGAAAGAAAGAAAGAAAGAAAAGAAGGGTAAATAGAAAAAAACGAAAGATTAGAGGATTATAAAAAGAAAAAAATAAATAGTAAGCCTTTTAAAAGAAAAGAAAAAGAAAAGAAAGAAAGAAAGAAAAAAGAAAAGGAAAAAAAGGTAAAAAGAAAAGAAAAATGAAAAGAAGAGGATTAGAAAAAGAAAAAAAAAAAAGGAAAGTCTTAACAGAAAAAAAGAAAAAAAAGAAAAAGAAAAAAAGAAAAAAGAAAGAAAAAGAAAAAAGAAAAAAAAAAAGATTAGAGGATTAAAAAAAGAAAACATAAATAGGTAAGTCTTAACAGAAAAGTGAAAAGAAAGAAAGAAAGAAAGAAAGAAAGAAGGGTAATCAGAAAAGAAAAACGAAAGAAAAGAGGATTATAAAAAAGAAAAATAAATAGAAAAGTCTTAACAGAAAAAAAAGAAAGAAAAAAGAAAAAAGAAAGAAAGAAGGGTAAAAAAAAGAAAAAAGGAAAGATTAGAGGATTATAAAAAAAAAACATAAATAATGAAGTCTTTTAACAGAAAAAGTGAAAAGAAAAAAAAAGAAAGAAAGAAAGAAAGAAAGAAAGAAAGAAGGTAATCAGAAAAGAAAAACGAAATTTTAGATGGATTATAAAAAGAAAAAACATAAATAGGTAAGTCTTAACAAGAAAGTAAAAGAAAGAAATAAAAGAAAAAAAGAAAGAAGGGTAATCAGAAAAGAAAAAAAAAGATTAGGGATTATAAAAGAAAAATTAATAGGTTTTTCTTTAACAAAAAATTGAAAGAAAGAAAGAAAAAAGAAAGAAATAAAAAACAAACAATTAAAAAGAAAAAAAAACGAAAGATTACAGTATTTATAAAAAGAAAACATAAATAGGTAAGTCTTAACAGAAAAGTGAAAAGAAAGAAAGAAAGAAAGAAAGAAAAGAAGGTAATTTAAAAAAAAAGAAAGATTAGAGGATTAAAAAAAGAAAACATAAATAGGTAAAGTCTTAACAGAAAATTGAAAAGAAAAGAAAGAAAGAAAGAAAGAAAGAATTTGTGGTATGGATCAGAAAGAAAAACGAAAGATTAGAGGAGGAAAAAAAGAAAAAATATAAATAGGTCAAGTCCCACAGAAAAGGAAAGAAAGAAAGATGTAAATGTTGTTGAAATAAGGGTAATTCAGAAAAGAAAATGTTCAAGATTAGAGGATTATAAAAAGAAAATAAATAGGAAGTCTTTAACAGAAAAGTGAAAAGAAAGAAAGAAAGAAAGAAAGAAAGAAAGAAAGAATCAGAAAAGAATTTTGAAAGATTAGAGGATTATAAAAGAAATATAACCAGGTAAGTCTTAACAGAAAAGTGAAAAGAAAGAAAGAAAGAAAGAAAGAAATTTGTTTTAAGAAGGGTCATCAGAAAAGAAAGATGAAAGATTAGAGGATTATAAAAAGAAAACATAAATAGGTAAAATTTTAACAGAAAAGATGAAAAGAAAGAAAGAAAGAAAAATTTTAAAAGAAAGAAAGAAGGGTAATCTGATGAAAAGAAAAATGAAAGAATAGAGGATTATAAAAAAGAAAACATAAATAGGTAAAAGTCTTAACAGAAAAGTGAAAAGAAAGAAAGAAAGAAAAAGAAAGAAAGAAAGAAAGAAGGGTAATCAGAAAAGAAAAACGAAAGATTAGAGGATTATAAAAAAGAAAACATAAATAGGTAAGTCTTAACAGAAAAGTGAAAAGAAAGAAAGAAAGAAAGAAAGAAAGAAAGAAGGGATATCAGGAAAGAGAAAAGAAAGAACTAGGGATTATAAGAAAGTGAGAGAAGGAAAGAAATAAAGAAAGCAGGGTTATCAGAAAAAAGAAAAGAAGAAATAGAGTCTTATAAAAAGAAAGAAAAAAGAAAGAATGGATGAAAGAACGAAAGAAAGAGGCGTATGAGACAAAAATTGTTGCTTATAAAAATATGTAACAAATATGTAGGAAATAAAGGAAAGAATATGAAAATAGGGCATTTTTGAAACGAGTTTAAGAGCGATAAAGTATTTAAGCAAGAATTTTGAAAATCGCGATATTTTCTCTGTATTTGGAATCAGCCTGATAATAATAAATCTATGCTAAATAATGATGATGATTTAAAAGCCAACAAAAAGTTTAAAAAGAGTATAACCCTCCAACCCAGTGGGTCTTTTTTTCGTGGAAGCGATTAGCCTAAAATTATTTCTTTTTTCTTCAACCAACCTCGTCTTAAATGTCAACCTTAATTCTTCCCGGAGAATTCGTTCCTTTCGTCTTTTTCTGTTGATTTTTAATTTAAGTGTATTTTCTTATTCCTAATTTGGTTGAATTCTAAAAAATTCATGATAATTCAAGAGAAATTTGAAGAGAGAGAGAAGAAGAGAGGGAAAAAAAAAAGAAAAGGATCAAGAGAGAGAGAGAGAGGGAGGAAAAGGAATGGATATAAAGATGTAGAGGGGAAGAGAGAACAACGCCAAGAGAGAAAAATCCTGAAGGAAGCAGAAATGGCCAAGAGGAAAAGAAAAAAGAGAGAATATTGAGGATAGGTGAAAGAAAATTCAAATAGGAAAATCCTAAAATAAAGAGAAATAGGTTGGCTGAAGAGGAAGAAAGCAAAGAGGAATGCAAAAGAGAGACAAAAGTAAGAGAGAAGAAGAAGAGAGAGAGAGTGACTGAAAGAGGGAAGGAGAAAGATATAATGAAATGTAGGCGAAAAGAAAGAAAGTACAAAAGAATGGGAGACTGAGAAAACGGGGAGAGATGGTCATGAAGAAATGAAAGAGGGGGGTGAGAGAGATGGAAAAACTGTTTTGTTGAAGAGGAAGAAAATGAAAAGGAGGGAAAAGAGAGACAAAAGTAAGAGAGATGTGGGACAGAGAGAGACAGAGAGAGAGAGAGAGAGAAGGAGAGAATGAAATTGAGAGAGGGAAGGAGAAAGATATGAAGAAATGAAATGTGAGGCGAAAAGAAAGAGAAGAAAATAAAGAATGGGAGACTGAGAAATGGGGAGATGGGAGAGATGAAGAAATGAAAGAGGTAAAAAAGAGAGAGAATGGGTTTGGCTGAAAGAGGAAGAAAACGAGGGGTTAGAGAAAGGGGGAAGGGAAAAATTAGAGAGATGAGAGAGAGAGAGAGAGAATGAAGAGAGGGGAGAGAAGAGAGAATGAAAGAAAGAGAAGGACCATCAGAAAGAAATGGGAGACATGACAAATAGAAGAGAGAGAAGCTTAAATCAAAAGGGAAAAGAGAGAAAACGAATGAGAAAGACAGTGAATGAAAATCTAATTTGAAGGGAGAGATTTAAAAGAAAAGAAGAAATGGAGAAGAAAAGAGAGAGAGAAGAAATGATTTATTCTGGAAGAAGAAAAATTTAATTAAAAAGGAAACCAAAAAGAGAGACAAAAATAAAAGGGACAGAGAGAGAGAGAGAGGAGAGAGAGGAGAATGAGAGAAAGAAAGAGAGAGATGGAAAAGAGAGTACAAAGAATGCGAGAAGAAAAGGAATGTAGAAATGAAAGAGAGAGAAAGTTTAACCACGAATTAAGGGACAGAGAGAGAGAGAGAGAGAGAGAGAGAATGATTGAGAGGGAAGGAGAAAGATAGAATGAAATGTAGGGAAAAGAAAGAATGTTCAAAAGAATGGGAGACTGAGAAAATGGGGAGATCGCGTCATGAAGAAATGAAAGAGGGGTGAGAGAGATGAATAGGTTGAAATCTGAAGAGGAAGAAAATGAAAAGGTGAAGGGAAAAGAGAGACAAAAGTAAGAGAGATGTGGGACAGAGAGAGAGAGAGAGAGAGAGAGAGAGGTAGATTGAGAGAGGGAAGGAGAAAAGATATAATGAAATGTAGGCGAAAAGAAAGAAAGTACAAAGAATGGGAGACTGAGACGGGGAGAGTCTGAAGAAATGAAAGATGGGGGTGAGAGAGATGGAATAGGTTGGCTGAAGAGAAGAAAATGAAAAGGAAGGGAAAAAGAGACAAAAAGTAAGAGAGATGGGACAGAGAGAGAGAGAGAGAGAGAGAGAGAGATTGAGAGAGAGGGAAGGAGAAAGATATAATGAAATGTAGGTGAAAAGAAGAAAGAAAGATTACAAAGAATGGGAGACTGAGAATACGGGGAGATGGGGATGAAGAAATGAAAGAGGGGGGAGAGAGATGGGAGGAGGAGACTGAAGAGGAAGAAATGAAAAAAGGAAGGGAAAAGAGAGAGGGGTGAGAAGTAAGAGAGAGTGGGACAGAGAGAGAGAGAGAGAGAGAGAGAAGATTGAGAGAGGGAAGGAGAAAATATAATGAAATGAAGGAAAAGAAAGAAAGACAAAGAATGGGAGACTGAGAACATAGGGGGGGAGATGAAGGAGAGAAAGAAATGAAAGAGGGGTGAGAGAGAGATGGAATAGGTTGAGAGGAAGAGGAAGAAATGAAAAGGAAGGGGAAAAGAGAGACAAAAGAGAAGAGAGAGGTGGGACAGAGAGAGAGAGAGAGAGAGAGAGAATGAGAGAGAGGGAAGAGGAAAGAGATATAATGAAATGTGAGAAAAGAAAGAAAGTACAAAGAATGGGAGACTGAGAAGATGGGGAGAGGTGAAGAAATGAAAGAGGGGTGAGAGAGATGGAATAGGTTGAGGAAGAGAGAAATGAAAAGGAAGGGGAAAAGAGAGACAAAAGTAAGAGAGAGAGTGGGACAGAGAGAGAGAGAGAGAGAGAGAGAATGATTGAGAGAGGGAAGGAGAAAGATATAATGAAAAGAAAAGAAAGAAAGTACAAAGAATGGGAGACTGAGAAATATGGGGAGATGGGCGTCATGAAGAAATGAAAGAGGGGTGAAGAGAGATGGAATAGGTTGGCTGAAGAGAAGAAAATGAAGAGGAAGGGAAAAGAGAGACAAAAGTAAGAGAGATGGGGGGAGAGAGAGAGAGAGAGAGAGAGAGAGAATGATTGAGAGAGGGAAGGAGAAAGATATAATGAAAATGTAGGGAAAAAGAAAGAAAGTACAAAGAATGGGAGACTGAGAAATGGGGGGAGATGGGCGTCATGAAGAAATGAAAGAGGGGTGAGAGAGATGGAATAGGTTGGGAAGAGGAAGAAATGAAAAGGAAGGGAAAAGAGAGACAAAAAGTAAGAGAGACGGGGAGAGAGAGAGAGAGAGAGAGAGAGAGAGAGAATGAGAGAGGGAAGAGAAAGATATAATGAAATGTGGGAGAGAGAAAGCACAAAAGAATGGGAGACTGAGAAACGGGGAGATGGGAGTCAAAGAAATGAAAAGGGGGTGAGAGAGATGGAATAGGTTGGCTGGAAGAGGAAGAAAATGAAAAAGGGAAAAGAGAGACAAAGAAGAGAGAGAGAGAGAGAGAGAGAGAGAGAATGATTGAGAGAGAGGGAAGGAGAAAGATATAATGAAATGTAGGCGAAAAAGAAAAGAATGTGAAAGAGAAAGAATGGGAGACTGGAAAGAAAATGGGGGGGGAGTCATGAGAGAAAGGAAAGGGAGGAGAGAGAGAGAGGAAAGAAAAGAAAAGGAAGGGAAAATGGGGAGAGAAGGGAAAAGAGAGAAGAGATAAGAGATGAGGGGAGAGAGAGAGAGAGAGAGAGAGAGAGAGAATGATTGAGAGAGGGAAGGAGAAAGATATAATGAAATGTAGGCGAAAAGAAAGAAAGTACAAAGAATGGGAGACTGAGAAATACGGGGAGAGATGAAGAAATGAAAGAGGGGGTGAGAGAGATGGAATAGTGGGAGAGAGGGAAGAAAACGAAAAGGAAAGGGAAAAGAGAGAGAAAAAGTAAGAGAGATGTGGGACAGAGAGAGAGAGAGAGAGAGAGAGAGATTGAGAGAGGGAAGGAGAAAGATATAATGAAATGTAGAGGTGAAAAGAAAGAAAGTACAAAGAATGGGGAGACTGAGAAATATGGGGAGATGGGCGTCAGAAGAAATGAAAGAGGGGGTGAGAGAGATGGAATAGGTTAAGGAAAGAAGAAATGAAAAGGAAGGGAAAAGAAGGAAAAGTAAGAGAGAAAGGACAGAGAGAGAGAGAGAGAGAGAGAGAGATTGAGAGAGGGAAGGAGAAAGATATAAGAGAAAAGAAAGAGTACAAAGAATGGGGAGATGAGATGGGGAGATGCTGCGAAGAAATGAAAGAGGGGAGAGATGGAGAAAAGAAGAAAATGAAAAGGAAGGGAAAAGAGAGAGAAAGAATGGGACAGAGAGAGAGAGAGAGAGGAGAGAGAGAGAGAGAGAGGGAAGGAGAAAGATATAATGAAATGTCATGAAAAGAAAGAATGGAAAGAAGAATGAGAAATGAGAGAGGTGAAGAAATGAATTGGAGGGGTGAGAGATGAAGAGGTGGAAGAGGAAGAAATGGAAAAGGAAGGAAAAGAGAGACAAAAGGAAGAGAGATGGGACAAGAGAGAGAGAGAGAGAGAGAGAGAGAGAATGATTGAGAGAGGGAAGGAGAAAGATATAATGAAATGTAGGCGAAAAGAAAGAACGTATAAAGAATGGGAGACTGAGAAATGGGGGGAGATGGAGGAAGAAATGAAAGAGGGGTGAGAGAGAATAGAGTTGGATTGAAGAGGAAGAAATGAAAAGGAAGGGAAAAGAGAGACAAAAGTAAGAGAGATGTGGGACAGAGAGAAGAGAGAGAGAGAGAGAGAGAATGATTGAGAGAGGGAAGGAGAAAGAGAGAAATGAAATGTAGGAGAAAAGAAAGAAATGTATAAAGAATGGGAGACTGAGAAATACGGGGAGATGTTGTCATGAAGAATGAAAGAGGGGTGAGAGAGATGGAATAGGAGACTGAAGAGGAAGAAAATGAAAAGGAAGGGAAAAGAGAGACAAAAGTAAGAGAGATGGGACAGAGAGAGAGAGAGAGAGAGAGAGAGAATGAATGGAGAGAGGGAAGGAGAAAAGATATAATGAAATGAAAGGAAAAAGAAAGAAAGTACAAAGAATGGGGAGACTGAGAAATAGGGGGGGGAGATGGGCGTCATGAAGAAATGAAAG